GTATGTGACAGGAGATCGACGTTCGACGACGCGTTAAGGACCATGAAACTTGGGGGCAAACTTAGCGGACAGACCTGGGGAGTGGAAGGGCAGTCGGAGCCAAACGAGCGAGCCCACGGCAAAAGTCTCGACTTGCTGGTCGCGGTCGTGGCGGTCTTTTTCGAATGCTTGCTTGTCCTAGGTGAATTATCGGGCCAACTGATGACACTCTTCAGCATGGTGCAAAATTTCAGAAAGAGCGTTGAAGTCGGAGACGTCGGGACGATACGGCAAAATGGTGTCAAGGGTGGAGCATGGCTCACGCCCATATAGAAGAAAGAAAGGCGAGAAGCCTGTGGTTGACTGCGTCGCGGTGTTGTACGCATAGGTCACAAATGGGGAAATGACATCCCAGTTCGATTGGTCGGAATTGACATACATGGCGAGCATGTCTCCTAGCGTTCGGTTGAAGCGCTCAGACCGTCGGTCTGCTGGTGGTAGGCTGTAGAGGTGCGGTGCACCGTGCGGCATGCCTGAAGGAGTTGTTTAACTTCGGGTAAAAAGACACGCCCTCGATCACTTAGTAGTTCACGTGGTACCCAGTGACGCAGTACGAAGCGTCGCAAAACGAAATTGGCTACGTCACGTGCACCAGCCGTAGGTAGTGGAGCTGTTTCAGCATACCTCGTCAGATGGTCGACGGCGACAATGATCCATCAATTTCCAGTGGCAGTGTAAGGAAGGGGACCATATAGATCGACACCAACGTGGTCGAAAGGGCGCGCCAGACACGGTAGAGGCTGTAATAATCCGGGTGAATGGGCAGCTGTCTTTCGTCGTTGGCATAATGAACAAGACCGAATGTATTTTCGTACAAAAGTGTACATACCACGCCAGTAGCAACGCTGGCAGATCCGCTGATATGTTTTTAACACACCAGCGTGAGCATGTTGTGGGTCGGCATGAAAATACGCACAGACATCAGATCGCATGTGGCGTCGTATAACCAAGAGCCATTTACGACCATCCGCGTGGTAGTTTCTGCGGTATAGTTGCGCGTCCCGTATTGCGAAGTGTGTGGTTTGGCGGTGAAGAGCGCATGGGTACGCAGACGTTGAAGAGTCGGAAAGAATGTAATGGAGAGATGTTATCCATGGGTCTTTCCGCTGTTCAGACGACATGCTTGTGACGGAAATGAGAGCGATGGAGAGGTTGGTGTCCGAATGCAGGTCTGCGGTGGATCTCATTGGTGATCGTGAGAGGGCGTCCGCATCAGAGTGTTTTCGTCCTGAGCGGTAGATGACACGAATGTCAAATTCTTGTAGGCGAAGAGCCCAACGTCCAAGGCGACCTGAAGGATCTTTTAGCGACGCCAACCAACAAAGTGCGTGGTGATCGGTCACAACGTCGAAACTCTGTCCGTACAAGTAAGGACGAAACTTGCTTAACGTCCAAATGATTGCGAGGCATTCTTTTTCAGTTACGGAGTAGTTCATCTCCGCTTTCGTGAGTGCGCGGCTTGCGTATGTGACGATGTACTCTGGAATACTGGGCTATCGTTGCGCAAGTACTGCTCCCAGACCAACGCCACTGGCATCTGTGTGCACTTCAGTGGGGGCACTTGGGTCGTAATGGCGTAAAATCGGTGGGGACGTAAGCAGGCGGCGCAGTGTAAGGAAAGCTTCGTCGCATGCCGGGGTCCAGTTAGAAAGATTAGCTGGACCGTTCAGTAGTTGTGTACGTGGGGCTATTATTGTTGCAAAGTTGTGGACGAAACGACGAAAATACGAGCAAAAGCCGATGAAGCTCCTAAGTTCTTTGAATGAAGTCGGCTTACTGAAAACGTAAGATGGGGAGAACACAACGGTAGAGCCGGATAATTCAGTGCGATTGACAAGGACAACGATGGCACTAAGAGGAGGAACATCAACGTCGGAAGCAACAAGAAGCTTGCCAAGGTGAGTGCGCTCATTGTCGGTAGATGGCGCATCTGAAAACACAGATAATTCCACCTGCGCGCGAGCGCAGTCAATTATGGCGTGGTGGCGTGACAAAAAATCCCATTCAAGTATCACGTCGTGGGCACAAGTGGTCAACACACCTGATGAGAGCGAACTAACGTTTACCGCTCAACACTTAACGTGCTGTTTAAACAAAAACAAACAAAAAACGCAACCACAGGTACAGATATTAGTGCGAACTAACAGTGCCCCAGTTGTTACTTTGCTGTGTTTGAAAAGCACACTCTTTTCGCAAACAGTGCCTGTTAAGCGAGCAATGTGATCTTAGTGCACCCAGCAACTAAACCCAATTGTACCGGTCAAAGTCGAAGGTGCACGATTCTCCCTACCGAAGGATAAGCGCGCGCACACACGCGTCTACCCCTCCCCCCCCCCCTCCATTCGAGGGGCAAAGTATGCGAGAAAGATTAGCGCGTGTCTGCGCATTGTGATGAGCTGGGTGCCGAGCGTGGGCGGCTTTTTTTTTCTTCTTGAGTTTTCATATAAATATATAGAGATACATATACAGTGAATGACCGCTGCCATGGTAAGAAACCAGCCAAGACTATCCATATATATAATTGATATCATAATAAATAAAAAAAAAGCAATGCTGAACTCTGCCGGGGGCCACACCATTTGCGCAGTGAAACTATTCATGTGCGCACGGCGTCTAAAACAAGAACGGACGACATGGACACAGACACGGATAATGCGGAAGACTATTCGGTAAAGTGCCCTCCATATGCAGCACGGCCCCCACATGTGTGACGCTAACTAAAAGCATGGCATTGCCAACGCGTAAAAGTAATTTTTTTTTGTTATTCAAAGTGGGGGGAGGGGGGAAACACCTGCGCGTGCGCCCGCGGCAGCGAGAACGGTGGCAACGCCGGCTCATAATGCAGGCCCGCCATGCATTCACCCACCAGCAACAACGAGCGCTCGCTCTCGCCTGGTGTGCCGTGCGAGCCGCCTCCACACCGCGCTTTGTCGGCGGCGGGGCAGCTGCAGAAAATGCATGCTCTTACCAAAATGCCAAAATAGACAGCATAATTCCTAGATTGTCCTTGGGGAAAATTTGTTATATCAAGGTTGTTTCCTTTTGTTACATTGTTACACAGAGGACAAATACATGTGCTTCTATGGAGCAACAGTGGGAAATATCAAAGCTTTGTTTTATCAAGGTATTCATTATATAGAGGTTCGTTATAATTAACTGTGTCTCAGTAATGAGCGATTCACTGATGGCATTGCATTATTGAGCCTCTCAGGGGACCAATTAAAGTTTATGATTATTCAACTGTGCACGGAAAGCAGAAGAGTAGGTCTGAAAATTAACATGCGCAAAACTAAAGTAGTTTGCAACAGTATTGGCCGAAAACAGCACTTTGCGATAGGTGGAACTAGAAGTTGTAGAGAAATATGTATGTCTACTTAGAAGCAGTAGTAACAGCAGAGCCAAATCATGAGATTAAAGTAACTAGCACAATAATAATAGGGTGGATTACATTCACCAAGCATTCCTAATAATGAATGGTAATCAGCCACTAACCCTCAAAGGAAAAGTATATAACAGCTGCGTCTTGCTAGTACTTACCTATAAAGGAGAAACCTGGAGGCTTAGAATGATAGTACAGTTTAAATTGAGGATGATGCAGTGAGCGATTGATTGATTGATTGATATGTGAGATTTAACCTCCCAAAACCTCCATAAGATTATGAGAGACGCCGTAGTGAAGGGCTCCGAAAATTTCGACCACCTGGGGTTCTTTAACGTGCACCCATATTTTCTTTAACGTGCACCCAAATGCACCAGTCGCAGCCGGCATTCGATCCCGCAACCTGGACGCAGCGAGCAATGGAAAGGAAAATGATAGGTGAAACCTTAACAGACAAGAAAAGAGCAGAGCGAGTCAGAGAACAAACCAGGATTAAAAATATCACAATTGAAATCAAGAAGAAGAAATGAACGTGGACCGGGCTCCTAGCATGTAGGCAGGATAACTGCTGGTCATTAAGGATAGCTGACTGAGTTTCAAGAGAAGGCAAGCAGCCCCGGTTAGTGAGAGACAGAAACCTAGGTGGACAGATAAGAATAATAAGTTTGCAAGTACATATAATGTGGCAGCAAAAAGCACACACGACTGAAGCAGTTGATGCTGTTAGGCTGCTGCAACTGCTGATGATGATGATAATGCATAGCATGACAAGTCAAAGCAGTTTGGTGGAGCCACTATCTATTTTCTTGCCCAACAGTGCAGTCTAGAACTTCAAAGACTGCAGTCTTTTTCATCCACATTCAGTAAGATCCTCAAGATCCCCTCACAATCGCCAAGTAAAATCGCTTGCTCCCCCAGTGATCACATCAGCAGTGGCCACTTTGTTTCTACAACCACCAACGACTTGGCAATGACTTTGACTTTCATCGTACGCAACTTCTCACTGAAGTAGTGCCTACTAACACATGCTCTCACATCAAACAGTTTTTGCTGGTCACATCTGCTGCAGAGATTTACAATGCTTTGAAAAAACGGACCTTCATTCCCTCATAGTTTAGAACTTTGGGTCCAATTCATTTGAAAACATAGAACCTTCGCTTGGAGATGCAAACAATTAAAAAAAAAAAAAGCTTTGCAATCAAAGCAGCATAGTAAGGATGCTCAGGCAAGTTGGTTTGTACTTATAAAAGATTGAACAGTGCAGCAAAACAGACCACACCGAAAGATACTGTGATGAACTAGCAATAATTCCATTGCTGAAGCCTCCTAAGGGCATACATCAGAGCAATGAAAAGCAGCTGCCTTTGCCTTCCAGATGAGACATGGCAAGTTTCATTGGCTCTCATTCAAAGTTGTCTCACAGCTTGCAAGTTTCTGCTCACCTTTGGGTGGCTATAATCTCAGCCTAATTTAGTGGTTGCTACTCCAGATACTAAGTATTTACAACGAAAGCTGTCTCTCTCAACAGCAGACCGCCGTAGGCACACCCACCGTCAAAAAGGAGTACAAAAGATGTACCCACCATCCCCCTCCATGTACCACATCTGTAGTTTGGTGAACAGCCGGTCAACATCGCTCTCCTTGGCCACCTGCATAAGCATGCAAGGATAACTAGTGCAAACATAAGACAAAAAATTGCAAGCCACACATCTACAGTAGATAAAGATACTTACGCCTCAAAAATTACAATGGCAATTCACTACGGAATTAAAAGAAAAAGCTGTTTGTTATAAAAATCACTTAATTAAAAATTATAAACAATTTATCAAAATTTCATCCCAGGTTAGACAGTTCATAGCTTTCACGAAAGGAAACAACAGACGGTCGAATAAGCAGAAAAGCTTCATTCTAATTCTTGTCTAATTTCTCAGCTGTGTGCAGAGACAGCTTTTTGAGTTCTACGTACAGTAGAGAGACGCTGTTTTTTGACACGCACATGTAATCACTCATATCACACTCTTGTCTTGACACAAATGCTCTTAGTGACAAAGTCTTTTTATTTGAGCACCTTTTCACATCAAAGGAGAGCTCACATCATCAGAGTGCTCAAGGAGCGCTCTGATGATGTGCTCTAATTTCTGGCTGCAACAAAGTAAAAATAAATATTGTTAAGCCTCTGCATAACAATCTTCAGTATAACAAAACAACAGATATAACATTGCATTTCACCTCTAACTTTCTGCATCTGCATGTTCACAGAACACCATCTATTTTTCATCTAAACATAATGCGCCCCCCCCCCCCCCCGTGCATTTTTTCACAATTTCAATTCAAGCAAGTTTCAATGCCATTGCAGAAGAAGACCGTTGCAATAAGCTCAAACTTCTGCTCGTGCTAATGGTCATATGGGTGAGTTGCATGTGGTATTTTTTCAAACGCATTTTTCAAACTCTGCACCATGTTAGACTTTGGATAGCAGGATCCTGACCGGAGCCATCCGAGCCTCAGGAGAAGACGGGGAGAGGAGCCGGAGTAGGTAACAAGAAGATTTATACAGAGTGTTTACATGTTCATAGTAGCGTGAAACAATCAGAAAGAAAGAAGCATCATCGATCATCTCTGCGCTCACGTTTTATATCCTGGGTCTTCCCAAGATTCCTTGCAAGGGAAAACAATAAGTCCAGAACACTCTAATCATATTGTTACACAAATTAAGGTAACTTAATGGGGGGGGGGGGGTTTAATGGGCCCTGAGTCCGCGATCACCGTATGATGATGACGATCTCCACCGCCATGGCTCGTACCCACTCAGAGGGATCGCAGTGAAGGCAACGTCGTCTTCATTCCCTACCCGCGCTTCCCTTGTTTTTCCTGGTAGTGATACTTCTTATCATTCCTCCGATCTCAGACGAAGCCCTCTGGGAGAGTCATTCTTGCATCCTTCGTGTAAACGGCTTCAGGCGGGCAACATGCGTCACCTCTGTCTTGCATGAATGTCGGCCACTAGCGGTGACACGTGCAATTTCATAGTTGACATCGCTGAGACGATGGAGTATCACGAAAGGACCGGCGTAGTGTGCCAGTAGCTTTTGGCACAAGCCACGTCTGCGTATTGGGGTCCACACCCACACTAGATCACCGGGGGCATAGGTTACATGCCTATGTTGCTTGTCGTAGCGAGTTTTAGAGGACTCTTGCGCTGCCAGTGTACGTAGGCAGGCAAGTCGACGTGTCTCTTCCGCACGACAGAAAGTTTCCGCAATTGTTAAATTGTCATGGACGACAAAAGGAAAGATAGTGTCCAGCGTATGTCGAGGTGAGCGAGCGTAGAGCAGATAGAAAGGGCTGTAGCCTGTCCTTTCGTGTTTCGACGTGTTGAAGGCGTACGTGACAAATGGTAAAACTTCATCCCAGTTTTTGTGGTCGGAGGCGACGTACTTTGACAACATGATGATCAACGTTCGATTTGTGCGCTCGGTGAGGCCGTTAGTTTGTGGATGATACGCAGTTGAGTGTCGGAACTTGGAGGCACACAAACGAAGTAATGATTCGACAATATCAGCGGTAAATTGTCGTCCACGGTCACTTATTATCACGCAAGGAGGTCCGTGTCGGAGGATGACTGAATGCAACAGAAACTCCGAAACCTGGTCTGCCGTGGCGGAGCATGAGGCAGCCGTCTCGCAGTACCGCGTCAGGTAGTCGGCGCATACAATTATCCACCGGTTACCTTTCGAGGAGCGTGGAAATGGTCCCATCAGATCAATGCCGACCTTTTCAAAAGGAGAACTGGGAGGCTTTACAGGTTGCAGGTGACCAACTGGACCCGAGGAGGGCCGCTTGTGGCTCTGTCACTGCGTACAGCTGGCCACGTAGTTCTGAATTGTCTTGCTCATTTTCGGCCAATAGAACCGCTCTTTCGTGCGACTAAGTGTTCGTGCGGTGCCTAGATGGCCAGAGGTGGGGTCATCATGCGTGAGACGCAGAACAGAAGTTTGGAGGGACGCAGGAACAACTAGCAGAAAGCGGGCGCCCATCGTGGACAAGTTTCTCTGGTAAAGAAGACCATTTCGGATGCAGAATCGGCCTTCGCTTAATGAATTTCTCGCTCCAGGGAAGAGAGCTTTCAAGCTTGGGTCATTACGCTGCTCAGCGGCGAAAGTCACGGCATCGCAAAAGCCAGACGACAGAGAAGCGATAAGGTGGTCAAAGTTATCGCCTTCACAATCTGTCGATGATAGCGGCATTCTCGAGAGGCAATCCGCATCAGCGTGTAGACGGCCAGTCTTGTATGAAATGGTGAATACATGTTCTTGCAAACGAATGGCCCATCGTGCGAGGCGGCCGGATGGGCCACGAAGGTTGACCAGCCAACACAGGGAATGGTGATCTGTGACGATAGCGAACGGGCGACCATAGATGTATGAGCGAAACCGTTGCACGGCAAGGACTACCGCTAGGCATTCCTGTTCGGTCACTGTGTAGTTGCGTTCAGGCTTGCTTAAAGAACGACTTGCGTACGCCACAACGTGTTCCTTCTTGCCAGAACGCTGAACGAGAACGGCACCGATACCGATGCCACTTGCATCTGTGTGAATTTCCGTGGGCGATGAAGGATTGAAGTGCTGAAGTATTGGCTGCGAAGTTGACAAACACTTCAGCTTGTGAAAAGCGGCATCACACTCGGAGGTCCACTGAAACAGGCTGTTCTTGCGTAGAAGGCTCGTCAGGGGGTGAACCACATCCGCAAACTTGGGTACGAACCGGCGGAAATACGAGCAGAGCCCGATGAAGCTACGCAGTTGTTTCACAGATTTAGGACGCTCGAACGATTCAACGGCCGCGGTCTTTTGTGGGTCAGGTCTAATGCCGTCTTTGTCGACGAGATGTTCTAACACCAATGTCTGTCGCTCGCCAAAATGGCACTTTTTCGAATTCAATACAAGGCCAGCTTTTTCAATGCAGCTTAGCACGAGGTCTAGGCGAGTGTTGTGTCCCTCAAACGTACGTCCAAAAATTACGACATCATCAAGGTAACAAATGCATATATGCCATTTTAAACCACGCAATATAGAGCCCATAAATCTTTCGAATGTCGCAGGAGCATTACATAATTCAAATGGCATAACGTTGAACTCGTAAAGTCCGTCGGTCGTAACAAATGCCGTCTTTTCTTTGTCAGCTGCGTGCATCGGAATTTGCCAGTAACCTGATCTCAGGTCGACAGATGAAAAGTAGGACGCGGAATGCAGGCAGTCTAGAGCGTCATCGATGCGCGGCAGTGGATAAACGTCTTTCTTGGTAACAGAATTCAGTCGGCGGTAGTCAACGCAAAATCTCCACGTACCATCCTTTTTCCTCACTAGAATGACAGGAGCAGCCCACGGACTTGCCGATTCCTGTATTATTCCCTTTTCCAGCATTTCTTGGACTTGCTCGTTGATGATCTTGCGCTCTGATGGTGCCACTCGATAAGGTTTCTGCCTAATGGGATGCGCCGACTCGGTGTGGATCTGATGACGTATCCGGGACGCTGGAATTAAGGGCCTTTGGCTATTTTTAGAAAAATCGAACACTTTCGAGTGCTTGGATAGAACGTCGAGCAGTGTATGACGTTCGCTTTGGTCAAGTGACTTGCTGACCATTTGTAGCAATTGGGCATCTTCTGAACCTTCTAAGCCTAGATGTTCATTTTGGCTTGTAGCATCAAGAAGCGCAACCAGCGTCGTACATGATTCGGGTCTAAATACTGCAAGTTTCATGCCGCCTGGCAGAATTGCAGGCTCCATGGAACTGTTCATTGTCCACACACCTGCCCGTCCATCAACGACTGGCACTATGCAATGGGGAATGAGAATGCAATGGGGTTCTTTTTCAGGCATGCCAAGGGAATCGGTTCGAGCGTGGCGTCAAACGTGCCACAGTTGTTGCTAGAACATGTCACGAGAACACACACAGCAGAAAATGCAGGAACGACTGTGTCCACGGAGACGAAAAAGATGCATTCCTCCGGACGGGAATTTTCCAAGAGCGCCGTTGGGAAAGTACCGTGTATAGAAAGATACCCATTTCTGCAGTCTACAGTTGCCCCACACTCACACAAGAAGTCAATACCCAAGATAACGTCATGTGTAGACCGCGGAATAACCGCAAACTCTGTGCAAAACACCTTGCCACACAGCGAGACGTCCACAGTACAATATCCCACCGGACACAACACGTCACCACTTACACCACGAAATGTCACCCCACGGTTCAGGCAAAACATCACTTTTGGTCCCAGCAGGTTTTTAAAATTTACACTCATCACCGAGACTGTCGCGCCTGTATCCACAAGTGCCATAGTAGCCACTCCATCGACAACGACATGAACTTTGTTCTTCAACATAAACGCTGACGGGGGTACACCTGTAGATAGCACCTGTGATCTCGCGGCCTCACCCCCACTGGCCGCACCGACTAGTTTTCCGGCGGCGGTGTGCGTGCGCGTCGCCGTGCCGATGGCGATCGTGGAGCACGGGGAGCTGGTGGTGGTGTCAAACTTCGATCAGAGGCCGGCGAGGGGTAGCGTGATCCGGTAGGTGCGCGTGGTTTCCGTGACGTGGAGAGCGGATGGTCGAAAGGTTGGTGAGACATGTGCGAAGACTGT